CCACCCTCTTCTCTCCTTTAGCAAATATTTACACCATTCTGGGCCAAACCTGGGGCCTGGGAGGGCTTGGAGAAGGAGGAGGGGTACAAGACCTCCACACCCTAGCTGCGCCCCTTTTTACATCCTTCTGTAAGGACATCCTTCTGTCCTCTGTCTCTCTCCCTTACTGCCTTCCTCTCAGGACCAGCTGAACAGTTTCCTCCCCACCCCCTCTTTCCTCTGGTTCCTCCAAAGACACTGAGGACTGGAGACTGTCAGACCTAGAAGTCTGGTTCCAGTTCTACTTTGGACCCTCCCAGTGAGCCTCTCTCCTTATCCAGTTTAGATGCTAAAGCTCCACTCTTTCCAGACCAACCTGGCCAACTCTGCTCAACTCTCCATCAGGGACCTCAGAATTGGAAGCCTCATCTCTCCTAGGTAGAGGAGCAGAAGCAGGCAGGGAGAGAGGAAACACAGATTTTATTGAAATGAGGTAGTTGGAGGTACAGAGACAACTTGGCTTGCTTGGGGCTCAGGCTTCCAGAAATTTGGGGAGCGTCTCCACAGTCTCCAAGGTCCAGAGAAATGCTGCTGTTTCTAGGAGCTCTCACTGCACCTGGGCTGTTCCAGGGTGGAGAGAAGAGGGCCCTGGGTTTCCCAGGGGGCAATAAATAGGGGAGGATGGGGTGTGCCTGCACCTTCCTGGTAGAGGCTTGCTAAGGCCAGCGCTTGCACAGCATTCCAGAAGTCTCCCGGAGTGCCAAGTTCCAAACACTTTGGCGACTCTGAGATGAGGTCACTGGTGGGAGGAAGCAGGTCTCAGAAAACAACCTCTGGAGGCTGCATTAGTGCAATATAAATGTGCAGGGAGGGGTTTAATAAGGTTAGGTTGGGGCTTTTTGGTCTGTCGCAAGGCAGCTGGTGCTGTGGTGACTGGGGAGATTGGGCACTGGTAATATGCCCGAACCCAAGCATCTCCCACACAAGGGACTTCAAGGCCCTCTGTCTGCCCTGAGCCAGAAGGGTGAGTTGGGATAGGAGTGCATGAGAAGAGCCCGGAGCTCAAAGGCACTAACTGAACAAACAGAAGTCGGAAGGGAGAGAATTCTCATTCTCTAGGGTGTGGTTGTTTGCAACCCCACCCATGTGCTGATCCCCAGATCAAAGATGGAAGGAAACTCTTGCCTCCCCATCTGACAGGTTTGGTGTTTCCCAGGCCTCTGGCCATCTAGGGTCCCCAGCCCTCAGCACCCAGCCCAGACCAGAGAAAAGCGTTTCCCCATTCCTCCCAAAGGCAGCTCTAAACTGGAGCCACAGCCTTGGAGAGGGTCTGCGCGGGGAAGCTGACTGCGGGGCTGGGAGCGACGAGCAGGGCTGCACTGGGTCCCTCCGCGCACGGAGCCGGGCTGGTAGGGAGGTTGCGTTCACGAGGTTATGGAACTAGGCGAGGCTTCCGGGGAAGTGCAGGTCGACTGGTCGGAGGTGTCTCCAGCCACCTCCTTGGGACAACCTGGCGGGGTGGGGGGCACCCTGGCTCCCTCCCGCTCGCGCTTCTTCTGCTTCATGCGTCGATTCTGGAACCAAATCTTGACTTGTGTCTCATTAAGCTCCAGGGTGGCGGCGATTTCCACTCGCCGGGCTCGGCTCAGGTACTTGTTGAAATGAAACTCCTTCTCCAGTTCGGTCAGCTGTCGCGTGGTGAAGTTGGTGCGGAGGCCGCCCGGGGCGCCCAGGCCCAGTTCGGACACCTTTGCTGGGGGAGGAGAAGAATCACGTCAGTTCTCTCTCCTCTTTCCTCTTCCCCACTCCTCCTCCTCCTAGGCCAGCTTGGACCCCGCCCTCCCTTTCACCGTTTTGTTCAACTTAAGCTCTGAATTTCCCCCCTGGTTCACCAGTCCCCCTCCCAAAGTGATCTCCAAATCTAAAACAAACTCCCCATACTTCCATCCAATCTCCCCTGCCCGGCCGCGCCCTCCGCAGACAGACCTCGTGCTGGGCTCACAGACCAGGAAGTGAGGAGGTGGCTAGAGACTCTTAAGGGTAACCCGGCACCCACTGGGTGGGGAGACCCTGTGAGTCCAGGCATGTTCTTACCTGCCTCCACCGGGGCAAAGTGCAGAGGAGAGCCCAGCCTAGGCAGGGACCCCTCAGGGCCGGCAGCACCGCGCGCTGTGCGGGGCAGCACGGAGCACCACGCCCAGCCTACCTGTCTTCGGTGGGTTCCTCTTAACCTTCATCCAGTCGAAGGTCCGGGCCGCCGGCCTGGGTTCCGCCTGGCAGGGCGATTCCTTGTCTTCCGGGAGGAGATCCGCATAGGACGGTGTAAAGTTCCCAGTTTGCTCGTTCCCATAAGGGGGCTGCTGAGAAGAGTAGGGTCCCGGCCCCACGCCAGATCCACCCATTTCATAGCCTTCCGACAAGCCCCCCAGCTGGGCCCCATAGCTTGAAGGATGAAAATAGCCTCCATCCCCTTCCGGCTGCCCCAAAGGGTAGTACTGAGAAGGTCCAAAGCTAGGGCTGCAGGTTGCTGGCGCGTACCCCGAGGGTACAGAGCTGGGAAAGGGCACCCCCAATGCGGAGGGCGGCTGCTGCGCAGGATAGCCAGAGTTCTGCTGGAGAGTGGGGCTGGGGAGACCCCCCACATAGCGGGCCTCGCCTGCATAGCTGTCAACAGCCGGAGCGGAGTTAGGGGGGAAAGAATTAGGGGTGCTGTGGGCGCTGTAGGCGCTGGGTCCCCGGTTACAGAGTGGGTACTCTAAGAAGGAGTTCATCCTATTATAGTCCATGCGTGGAGGCCGCAGGAGGGTCCGCCCGTTTGGGGGAGACACCCTCTTGCCCTACAACCTTTCGGCAGTATGTCACAGAGCTGAAGCTTGCATCCATGGCCTGGCCCAGCTTGGCTGGGCCAGGGCTCCCCTAGGAAGGGGTAGGGAGTGGGGGTGGAGGGGCACATGTGATCTCTCCCAGGCCAATGGGCGCAGTGGGCCAGAGTTTGGCAGCCCCAGCGCCCATCCATCACCCCCCAAGCATTAGCATGACAAAGACACTTCAATCACCCACAGCCCATCCATCTGAGAGCGACATGGAAGCGTCAAAAACATCTTTCTTCAAAGACTTTTGGGAAGAAGGGACCAGAGGGAGAGGGGGAAAAAGTTAGGGGAATATTCAAGACTTTCCTCCCCTCCTACCCCCCAAGGCCTTCAATAGGCTCCTGGGTTATTAGATTTGGACAAATTCAACCCAGCTGCCCCTCACTCTTCCCAGCCCCCCAAAGGAGCCTTCCCCCAGGCTGTAGACCCTGGAGGTGGGAAACCCAGCCCCTTTACTTTGCCCAGAACTCCCACTCTTCATTTCTCTCCCCCAGTTTGTCTTGGGGTGATGGGCTAGGACATCTGGGTGAGGTATGTTATCTTAGGCCAAATGGATGACTGTGAAAGAAGAGGGTGCAAAACACCTAAGGGTGTAAGGCAGTGTCTAGAATCTAAAGGGAGATTCTTTCAGCGAGGGTTGGGAAAGTGGAAGCAGGATGGAAAAGTGGTGAGAAGGCTGAGAGGAGCTGCCTTTCTTGCTCCATCTCTCCACGTAAACACTCTCTCCTCATTCACACATTCATTTCTCTCCCTCAGCCTCTCTTTATATTCTCTCTGTCTCAATCCATCTTTCTCTTCGTCCATCTCTCTCCATATTTATATTCGTTTGCTACCAATCCATCAATTCATCTCTTTAGATGTATTTATCCTCTCTTTAGCCATCCAGAGCTGTAGCTGGCTCACTCACTCAGCTTCAAATAACTCCCTGTATCTCTCCAGAGGGCCGCAATGAGCACAGAGCTGGGTGATGTTTAAGGTAAAGAGGAGGTAATTTTTTATTCTCTTCCCAAAGCCTTTCATACTGCTATGCCTCTTGCCTTCCTCAGAATCCCTCATGCCCCTCTCTCCTTCGCCCTCTTCACCTCTGCCAGCCCACCCCCAAATCCCAGGTCAACAATCCATACATTCAATACCAATTACTTCTTGAAGATTATTCAAATGTTCAATTACATTTTTTTTTTTTGGAATAAATCTAGGGCGTTTGCTCAGAGAAGGAGAGCAAGCGTCACTGTGGAGCACTTGAAGCCCAGCAAAGTCTTACCCTTTCAGCTCCTTTCTGTGGGTTGGGTTGGGGGAGGGGAGGAGCACAGGAAGTGCTTCACTCACTCTCTTCAAACCAGGAAGGGACTGGAAGAGAAGCTCTAGGTAGAGCCCATTGATTCTCCTCCTCCAGACTCCGAGGACAAGAGCTTGCCTCAATCCAACACCCACACTCATTTGTAACCTGTCAGGGTGTCTGCCAGGCCTGGGAGGCCTGAGGCTGGGGCTAGGGCAAGTGCAGGAGGCAAGATTCAGGGCAGAGCTCTGTCAACAGTTGAGCTCAGGAGAGGAAGGGAAAGCAGGTGGGAGAAGTCCAGCAAGGACCTGCAAAACTTCTTAGGTCTCCACCCCTGAAAGGGGCAGGGTGAATGCTCATCTCTGCTAGGAGCCCCGAAGTGAAGTGGTCTCTCACTGTCTGTGTCTTTCAGTTTTCCGTTCCTCCTTACTTTTCCCATCCTCTGTACTCATCCCTCCTGCTTTTAGCTCTATCACCAGAACCACAGTGCCTTTCTCTTCTCTTCATAACTGTGAGTCTTGCGTAGTTTGCAGTAACGAAAGGGCTCAAAGCATTTCACAGGGCCCCTGCCCCTTCCCCCCTCACTATGCAAAGGATCAGGACAAGTTGGGGGGAGGAAGACCAGCTGGTAACTTCCTGAAGAGAGATGCAAGGCGGGAAGGAGAGAAAATGGCCATTACCACAGGGCTGTGGGCAGACAAAGGGAGGGAGAGTTGAGATGGGATGGGGTGGGAGTATCCTGCAGTGGGATTGGAGGGAAAAGGAGTGTTGGGGTGAGAACAAGCTGGTTATGTCCATTTCCCCTTTTTAGGTTTATAAATGCTCCCAATATTTTCCTCTTGCTTTAAGACAGTCTCCACCGAGGCTGCTGGAGAAGAAGGGCTTGGGAAACCAGGGTTCCCTGCTTGCCTGGGTAGACCTACATATGACTTGGCTGCCCTGATGCTAACAGACTTGATACTTCTTCACTTTCCACCTTTCCCTCAATACAGGGAGAAGTGACTCACTGCATCTCTTGCCTTTCTAGCAAGGGAACAATTTGAGGTCTAAAAAAGGAAGTAAATTCCAAATCAGTTTAACAAAAGATCAGAAATCTGTCTGTGGGCAGGGGAGATGCAATCTCCCTCACAACAGCTAAAGTCACCAGCAGTCTATTATTAGGACCAACCAGAAGAGAAAGAGTGGGCCAAGTTATACTGTCAATTATAGTGACTGCTTTGACCTCAGCTGTCCAAATTCACTGTGCTTTCCAAGTCATCCAGTCTTGCTATCTTCCCTTGGATAGCAGATCAATGAAAACTTTCCAAAATTCCTCTCCCAGACCCAGCAAAGTGAACCTGAAGAAACAGCAACTTGGCTTCCTAGATTCCCAAGTCTCTTCCTTGAAAGAAGCATCCTCACGCTTCGAATTAAGGAGAAAGTCCATGACATCTGGGTTCCTAGCTAAGCCCATGGCTGAGTGCAAAACAAAATAAACAAAGAGAAGTTCACATCTGGAGTAACTATAGGCATTATGGGATTTTTTTGTCTGACCAAATGAAATTCACCAGAGAATATCTGTTGGACACAACACCGAAGAAATAAAGTTGATTTCCTCTTCTGTGTAACCTGAGTTAGAACACAAAGGCCCACAAATAGAACACGGTCAGGTTTTAGAACTGACCTATCCTCCAGAGGTGCTGTTACAGATCACACTGGAAAGTCAAGCAGAACCATTCTAAAGAGAATGGGACTATGTGAGAAGTTTACACCCAATTCTGGGATTCTGGACTTTTCTCTAGAGGAAGTTGCTTCTGCTGGGGCGGGGAGGCAGGAGGCTGGCAGGAACAGCCTGAAAAGTGTATCAGTAGATCCTCATGTATCTGTCTGCTTTCTCTCTTAGTTCAGACCTTGGAGACTAAGCCCAAGCTACAGACTGGAACTTGAGAATGGAGAGGGTATTCATGGTTATATTTTTTTCTTAATAAAAGGTGGGTAGGATGGAATTTTAATGTAGTGGTGTTTCTTTATTAATGCAAGCTAATTACATTGTCACAAATCTGGTTGAGAACCATATATATTGTAAGGAGACTATTGGTTTCACATTCTTGCTTGGCTATTTCTTAACATTATAACCCTGGACAAGTTCCCCAGTTTCTCTGAGTTTCAGCCTCAGAGAAGAATGGATTTAATACTACTTACTTCACTACATTGGGAACAGAATTAAAGCAAATAAGAAAACTTAAGCTATGGTGAACTCTATAATGATATTAACATTACATGTACATTCTGAAATAATGTCACTCATCTATTTTTAAAATATAACTAGCATATTAAAATATGGAAATATGTGATAGGAGAATAGCATATGTGCTATATTTTCATGTAACCTCCAGCCATATATAATATGTACTTTGTCATATGCAAATTTCATTGAAAATTAGGCTGACTCTGGTTAGGCAAAGGATTTTCTTCAAAGTTGAAGGGCTTGCTGAAAACTAAAGCCCAAAATTATACATCTATGAAGAATTGAAATGATTACAATTGTAGCAGAAATGTTTGATATTAGACATTGGAAAGATCTTCCAAATACTTGGGGGAAGTATTCTAGGAAGGATATTGTCTCTTCCTCCTTGAGGGATTTTAGTTTAGAAACTGTCATTCCTGGGATGAAGATGGAACCTGACATCCATGGTCATAGAAAATCATAGATCAACAGGATGTGAACTTAACATCTGGAGTGAAAGGAAAGTCAGAGTTGGGATCTTTCTAAAAGGAAATATTAGAATGACATGAAGAATTGCAGTGAGTTTCTAGTTAATTTGGCTTATGGTAGTTTGACAAAAAAATGTACTTTATAAACCCTAACAAACATGGATGAAGTTGAATTTATACCTGAATGACTATGGGAACTGTGGTGATTCTGTGGTGACTGGGAGTTACAGGAGGTTTTAAGAGACTTTGATTGTTGACTCTCTGGGAGGAGGAGCCTTTTGTTAGATCTCCTTCAGGCATGAAGTATCTGCCTGAGTGTGCAGACAGGTTGGGTGTGGGTAAGAGGACAGCAGGAAGGCAGAACTGGGCTGGGAAGTCCAGGTGGATGGGGTGATTTGGAGCCCTAGAAGGTCACCCTCTGCAGACTGAGGTCATGCATTTGACTACACAATTCTGGGTGATGGGATCGCAGAATTCTTATCAGAAATTTAGGGGCAAGGAGGGCTGGGGGATTTATGAGAACTGTTTAGGGAGACCCAGAATGTATGTCCTTGGGATGCTGACCTAGCAACCAGATAAAGCCAAACTAAAAGTGGCTTTTAAAGTTAGTACACTGTGTCAAAGAAGTTTGGTGGCTTTTTTGTCCTACTCATTTTTCAGCAAGAGGAGGCATAACCAAATGTTGGAGAAGTTGACAGAAGAATAAAACCAGAGGAAACTATGATTAGGCTGCTCCTTAAGATTCATGTGTATTGAATCCTAGGCACCGGACACTCAGAACTGCACCTGATCATATATTTGTTGAAAAGATTTCTCACCGTACTCATCTAAAAAATGAGATTGTTGGTGTAAAAATACAATTTGAAACTTGTTAAAATGAAAAAAATTGTTATGGCCCTGTTAGATATATGAGAGTCCATTTATTAAGCATCCATATCAAAACACATGGCACCAATCATAATAAATACTTGATACATTGTTTTTTAATATTAATGATTATACTTTTTATATGTTGATATTTTACAGGTGTTTAGTTCTTCCATTTATCTTACAGATGGAGAAACTGAGGTCCAGAAAGGAGAAGGGATTTGTCCAGGCATAATTTTGTTTTAATGACTAGGGGTTATCATGATTGCAAATGATTCCTCACTCTAATGGTACTTTGCTTTCACCATAATATTAATGAACCATTCTTCTGAAAAGAATGACTCACCAAGAGCAGGGCAGATTGACCAGCAGCTTTCTGCACTACACTGAAACCTACTGATTCTAACCATAGCTGATTTATAACCAGCCTAAGCTACTCACAGTTGGTCCTGACCCAAGGGGAGCCCTGCCCCAAACAGGATAGGATAAGAGAATGAAGCTGTCTGGCACTAGCCTCTCACCTGTCATCACTGAGTGTCTGCTGCTGGTGTAGACTCCCCTCCTCTTCTTCCTTCTCTATACCTGGGAACGCTCAGGCTACAGAAGATCACACACACATGAATGAAACAAGGAAAGGAGTTAATCTGGAATACAGGCATCCTGAATCCCAGTCCTTTATGAATCCCAAATTGTCAGGCATTCCTTTTAATTTGAAATTGGATAAGGAAACTGAAGACAGGGGTAGTTTCCTTCTGGAAATGCATTGCTTCTTTGTTCTACTGTGGTGTCATCAAAGAAGATGAGTTCTATGAATGTGGGAAAGGAGGAAAAGTTTGTATGTTGCCTGTAAATAGGGTTCCCATTCCTCTCTAATTATCAAACAAGGGAAATGAGATGTCAGAATTCCTAATTCTTTGCATTGGGAGCTTCTTATCCCCAGGATATACAAGTAGCTAGCTTTACATATATAGATTGAGACTTTGACTGGAAATTCCTAGCTCCCCACTCCCTTTGGCAAGGAGGCATCAAGACTGATGCCTCATGGAGGAGATAAAAGACTTCCTGACCATTGGGCCATTGGTTTGGGTTGAGGAGGATTGGAAATCAGTAACCGGGAAATGTGGGCCAAATGTTTAAGCATGGGAGGGTTAGGAGGTAAGGTGGCATTATGATCTAGCTATACTTCTCAAATGTTAATATGCATATAAATGACATGGGGATCTCCTAAATTGAGATTTTGATCCAATGGACTTGGATTGGGCTTAGGATTCTGCAGTTCCAATTATCTCATAAGTAGTGATGATACCGCTGGTCCATGGAACCAGCTCTGAGAACTGAAGCCTCAGAGGCATGATCCCAGGATGTGAATTCTCTCCAGCAGAGCAGATTCTGCATTTTTGTCATTGATGAAGAGTGTTCTCCTTCTGACCAAAGAAAGCTGGAAGGTGGGCAATTAGTAAGATCCTTCTGGTAGTCTTGATCTTTGAAACAACCTGCTATAGCTGAAAGAACATTTTTAATTAGACTAAATTATCTAGTTTGGCTGTCCACAGAAATCAAAGGCCCAGCTGAAATGTCTGTTTCATTTTGTTAGTGTAGAGATGGTTATGTGCTGTGATTTTTAAGATGTTAAACACTGCCTATGGGCATATTTTATGGAGAAATAAACGTGCAACCCAATGAGATGTATAGTGTGGTTTTAATATATTGTATATTTGCTTATTTATGGGGAAAATAAACACATGAGCCAATAAGCTGTGTATTATTACTTTAATATATTGAATTTATTTCATATCTATATATTTTATGAGGGAAAATAAACTAATAAGATACATGATATTATTATAATAACACATCTAATTGTTCTATATTAATTTATTTATGAAAGAAATAAGTGCAATTTAACATGACATAAGATTATTTAAAGCTGGAGTTAAATTCTATGCTAAGACAGTTTAGGGGATTAAATTCCAGCTGAATAAGATGCGTGCACCTTCCTGCACTGAGGGACCAGCTTTAAAAAATTGTGTATCAAGGTCTGTCTAATCCTGTATGTCTCGACCTGTGTTGGTTTCTGGGTTTTTCTAACAGTCGTTGCCTCTCAGTGCATGGTACTCCAAGGCCCCATCCTGCTGGTCAGGGGAAAATCTGAGAGGCCCAGGAAACACACTGCCTTTACAGAAAGGCAGCATCTGCTAGGGAGGCAGCCCCGTGGTGTCTGTTTCTGAGCCGGAGAAATATTAAATAAACCTAAGGAGGATAGATGGCTTTCCAGGGCCCTTTAAATCTCCACGTTCCCCAGAACAAACCAGGAGGCAGAATGGGGAGATCGATCCTTGCTCCCTGGCTTATGAGTTTGCGAGGAGCCCGGCAGGGTGCGGTGGGGGCAGGAGATAGTGTAGAGGTGGCAAATGAAGTTGTTGACCCAGACAGGTAGGTCTGGACTTTGAGAAAGCTCTGGCCAGGCTTCAAATCCCCGCGCAGAGACTGACTCGCCGGGCAAACCCGGGCCTGGAGACGCGCGGCTCGCCCCTCCCTCCCACCCACGCGGAATCCCGTCCACCTTTACTCCTCGGCACCCCTAGCGCTGATTTTAAAAAATAAAACATAAACTGAAAGGAGACTCCCCGGCTCCCTTTGCTCACTGGCGTCTGGAAAATGCGGAGAGGAGAGGTGGGTGCGGGGCGCGCCCCCACCCCCACCCCCGGGCTGGACCCCGCGGGTCCCGCGGCGGCTGTCATGGCGGCCGCAATCTCTTCCTAAGTCCTCCCGGCCGCCCGGCCCCAGCGCCATTTTGAGCATCTTCCTGGCTTCCCAGTTGGTCCCCACAATTCTCACTCACCCTTTCCTCCCCGAGGGCCCCGCGCCGGGCCGCACTGGTCGCCCCGCCGCTCCTAGGACGCGCTGGCGCGAGGGGACCGAGGGTAACTGCGGGGCCGTAGAGCGTCGGCGTGGGCCGCGCCGCGCTCTCAGCGCCTGGTTCTCGCCCACCCGCGCACAGCGCCTGCTCTCCGAGAACCCCGCGGCCGCTCCCCGCGCCTCTGCCTGGCTCTTGGCCTCGGCCTCCAGCCTCCCCCCCCCCCCCCCCCCCCCCCGGCTTACTGCATTCGGAAAAAGACCGCTCCACCCGCCTTGGGGTACCGAAGGGAGAAGCCTGGGAGACTCTAGGACCCCCTCGATTTAGCTAAACCTCAGAAACCAGTCCCTGCGGTCCCCTTTCCTCGCATGCTCTTCTGCGGGTGGTACACCGACCCCGCACCCGCGCTTTTTCCTCCCCCCAAAACAGAGGCCCGTGCGGGGCCCGGAGGCCGTGTACAGAGGGGTGCCGAGGTGTAGGAGGATCCAGGACGTTCCCCCCCATCACCCCACTTTCTCAGAGCTACCGGCGGAGAAACGGCAACCACGTTTGTTGCACCCGGACTTCCCCGATTCCGGGGACTTTGCCGCCCCACGCCGCGGGACCCCGCAAGTCTCCAGCCGCTCCAGGAGTGGGGCCCGATTAGGGCGTGCGGAGAAAGGGGCTTAGTTCCGACACAAACACTCGTTTTCATATTATAAAGACATTTATTAATCTATGAAAATAATGTACAATAAATACTTTCCCCTCTTCCTATTAAAGAATTTTAATAAATAATCTACAGTCTAAAACTTAAAAAAGAGGAAAATAGATTCCTCTGGTTCTTTTTAAGAAAGCCCCCCCCCTAAAGTTTAATTATTCCTGAGATTTCGTTGGAAGGAGTCTACCAAACGGAATTTTTCTGTGTAATTTTAAAAAGATGCCCGCGTGCCGAACATTTTCGAGAGAGAAGAAAGGACGTGGATTAAACGCTACTTCGATAATACCTGAATTTAGCAAAACACATAAATAAGTCTATACGACTGGGGATGGGGGGGTGTCCTCAGCTTTTCCAGCACAGGTACTCGTCAAAGTGGGGCGCGGGGGTCGAAAGGGCTAGCAGAAGGAAACGGGTTAGGGGAACTGCAGGTCGATGGCACAGAGGGTGCTGGTGAAGAAGTCCAGCTCCTCCTCGGAAAATGGCACCGGGCTGCCAAGGGAGCCCTGAAGGCTGGGGGAGAGGGCCTCCGACAGTTGGAGACAGGAGTCGGCCGCGAAGAAGTTGAGGTCCGGCAGGAAAGGCGAGTCCTGCTGCTCTGGGAAGGCGTCTTCCAGCAACTGCTCTGGCTCCAGCCCGCCCGGCCCGCGCGGGGCGCCCCCGGGACTCGGCGCCCCCGCGCCCTCCGAGCGAGCAGCCAAAGGCCGCGGGCCAGGGGCCGGCGCGACCTCCGGCGGGTGAGAGCAGGCTTCCCGCGCAGCGTGCGAGGCGGAGGGACGGCCAGGGCTGGTCACCGGGTCCTCGGCGGCGTCCTCCAAGGCGCCTGGGCAGGCTGGGTCTCCGTCGGGCGGCTCTCGGTGCTGCGTCTGCCGCTTGTGCTTCATGCGCCGGTTCTGGAACCAGACTTTGACCTGCCTCTCGGTGAGGTCCAGCAAGGCCGCGATCTCCACGCGGCGAGGCCGGCACAGGTACTTGTTAAAGTGGAATTCCTTCTCCAACTCCAGCAGCTGCGTGTTGGTGTAAGCAGTGCGCAGCCTGCGCGCCCCGCCGCCGGCAGCCTCCGCCAGTCCCGGGCCATCTGAGGGGAAAGCAGACTGGAGGTCAAAGCGGGCCGCGTCCTCAGCCCATGCACAGTTAGTGGAAATAAAGACTACCCCATCCGCCAGACACGTTACAGAAGTCCCGCCACCCCTGCCAAAAGACGCGCGCTGCTTTTCGGTTCTTTCCATCCTTCATTCTCGGGCAGACCCTGCCGGGTCAGAGCAAGCATTCTGAGAGCCGTCCACGGGTCACGCGGGGGTGAGGGGGGGCTCCCTTTCATCCGCAGACCCTAAGAGCCCCTTTCCAAGTCTTGCGAGTGGACCCCTCATCTCGGCAATTTCCAACTCAGCCCCGGGAGAAGGTTCATGAAAGCTGTTCCTCTTCATTCCCGTTCCTCCCCAGCTCTCAAACTGCCCCTCTTATCTGGGAGCTGGGGGAGGTGGGGATGAATCTTTTGCCGCCCTCAGATTCAACCTCTGCAATGACACATTCATTCCTTCGAATCCTTGTTTTCTAGCATAGAAAAAGACTCCTTTACCCAGCGTCAAAATCTGCTGGGGGGTGGAAAAGGGAATGTTGACAGCGGCCAGGCCTGAACCCCAGCGGGTAATCCGCTTCCTCTTCGCTGGAATTGAGGCAGGCAAGGAACCCCAACAGGCTAGTCTTTCTGCCTCCCCCCCCCCATCACTCCTTCTCCCCATCTCTTCCAGCTGTCCCCTCACCCACCCCGGCCGAGCTTACCAACCTGCAGGCGATCCGACCCCAGAGGCCGGGTCGGCTGAGGCGGCCGAAGGAGATGTGGCAGATTGACTGGGTTTCTTGGCGGATTTCTTCTCTTTCATCCAGGGGAACTCGGGGGCCAGGGGGGCGCCGGGAAGCGATGGCTGCGGCAAAGCGGGCCCATCTTCGGCTAGCTTTTGGCTCCCGGGTCTCTGAAGGGTGGAGGCGTCGGGCTGGAGGCTGGGGAAGGTTTGCTCGAAAGGAGGAGGAGGAGGAATTAATGTCGACTCCTTGATTGATGAAGTTTGAAATGTCTCCAAGACAGCGGGGAAGGAAGTCAGACACTCGGCGAGCGATGGCTGGCTGTTTATAAACCCAATCTCCCTCTCAAATTCAAAATTCATGGCTTTCAATGGTGGGGGAGGGGGCTTGCTGGGGGGGGCGTCAGGAGGGAGGATCGGAAGGGACCCCCCCTCCTGCCCCCCCCAGGTTTATGTGATGGAGCGATTTTGGGAGGGGGGATTTCCCTCTCTCTCTCTCTTTTTTTAATTTTGGGCCTTTATAATTGTATATTGCTGATAAATACAAGCGTATGGGGACTCTCTCTATTAAACCCAGGACTCCGGCGAAATTGCAGGGAATTCGTGGTCACGGGATCTACCTCGGCCAATCACTAGTCTGGGCCTGGTGGAAAACAGAAAGCATTATTTGCTTTAATTGATTCAAAAAACTCTAGAGGATCACGACCTGGACACCATGAGCCCCCCAGTTCCATACTCCCCCTCCCCAGTGCTTCCCCTTCTCCATAAAAATCTAGACAAGCTTTCCATCATCCTCTTCACAGAATGGGAGATGCTGTGGAAACAAGAGAGGCTGAGGAAGAGAGAGATCATCTTCCTTCCCAAATATTGTTGATAAAATTAATGCCTTCTTTGGCCAGTAGTAGTATGTTTTTCCTCTGCACCCCTCCAAGAAAGAAAGCAGAGTGTGGATCTCAGTGTGGGAGGAAGAGCTGGTGGAAAGAGGTTTCCACTCTTGGGGAAACATTCATGTTAAGGTGCAGCAAGAAAGAGAAGAGATTTACAATCATCAGCACCACTAACCCTATCCTGTCCCCCAAAAGCAACAGATAAATCTTGGGAAGTGGACCAGTACGCCCAAGCAGACTCAGGCATGACACAGATGGTAAGGAGCCTTTCTGGGCCTCTGGCCTCCATAAGTGCTGGTGTCAGGCCCCTTCTCTGCCCAGGGTTTGCAGCACTGCCTAAGCCCTGACTCCACCTGCCTTTCTCACCTGGAGGCATCTAGCACCCTCCAGGACACCCCCAACCCCTATCAGGCAGGGTTTGAGATGCATATGAGTTCACTTAAGCTTCAAGCCTTACTCTACATCTATATACAGAGTCCTGAACCAGAACCAAGATAAGCACTGTATAGAGCACTCTCAAAGATCAGACCAGAATGGGGCTCTTCCCTCCCAGGACAAAGAGAGTCCCCCCCCCCTTTGTGCCATTGTGCTATTTAAAAAACAAAAACAAAAACAAAAAGCTTGGCAAGAAAGAATTCTCTGAACATGGAGGTGAGGAAAATAATGACCACTTATATAATATTCCATTTTTGGCCCCTAAGAAAGAATGCTTTTTTTGTTTATTTTTTGGGGGGCATGGAGATAGTGCAAATTTTAGGGAGCGTTGTTATTTACTGGAAGGAGGGGGCACAAGACTCAGGGCCCCAAGCAATTGGTGGGAAACTAGATCTCAAAGCAGAAAATGAAAAGTCGATCTGGAGGGAAGATTTTTAAATAAGTGGGTCAGAGGGACCTAGAGGAGATGAGGCGATCAATCTTAGCCCCCTGACAGCTCCCTCCGATGGCATCAAAGAATTTGGCTCTTTGGGAAAGCGGAGGGAACAGCCGAAATTCCACATCCCTTTAAAAGGCCTGGGGGTGGGGGTGTCAGCAAGAGAGAAAGGTGATTCTGGGAGAGCGGGAAACAGATGGGAAATGGGACTGAGGGAAGGGCGCTAAGTTGGATGGAAAGTTTGTCTGAAGAACTCCCACGGCTCTGGCCTCCCCTCCCCCTCCTGGTTCTCAGCCGCCCAGCAGAGGAGAAGGCTGGTTAGCAGAGAAATGGCAACTCAGCCGGGAGCTGGAACTAGAAACTTTCTGTCAATGTAACAGCTGCGTGGGTGGTGGTGAGTATTCATCCGCGTGGGTGGTGGTGAGTATTTAAGGACTGAGGCTCTGAAGAGAAAGGGGTGGGGTGGTTGGAGAAAGCTAGGCGGCAGAAAGGAGAATTGGAGGTGGGGGTTGCAGAGACAGGAGGTGGCAGGCTCTGGAGGCCTCAGAACAGCGAGAGCAGCTCTGGTGTGTGCAAACTGGTGGGGAAGGTTGTGTCCAGTTCTTAGATCAGAGAACGTGATTTTGCCCGTTGGAAGTATGTGCATGGTGTGGGAAGTGACTCAGAATAGTTGTCTGGAACTTGTGCGTGAGGCCTGAGAAAGAATTCTCCTTCTGGCCACCCTGGAGAAGCCCTGGAGGGTTTTTTTCAAAGCCCCCCACCTCCCCAGTCCAGCTCGCTGCAAGGTGGAGCGCTGCTCTCGGCAACTTCGCTAAGACTATCCCTGCAGGAAATACGGCTCTCTCTAACCCTGCTGACAGGTTTTACGGCCAGATTAGAGAACAGCAGAAAACTTGGGTGTTAAAAGAGGCCAAGAGATCCCTCCTTCCTAGAGACTCCCCTTCCCCGCCCCCCAGTCCCCCGCCTGCGTTGTGCTGTGAATCTTACAGCACAGATATTTTCCCCATGACTTTGGCTGCTTAGCTAGAGCCTGGGATCTCGCTGAGAGAAGGGTCTGGAACACCAAGCCAAGACGGTCCTTATTTTTTCTTGTTTGCAATTCCAGCTTCAAGCCAAGGCGCTGTTTTTCAAACTCAAGCTAAATTTTCTCTCTTGGCCTGCCTCTCTCTTGCTAGATAATCAATCCACTCCACCCCCAGAGCCAAACATGGCGCTTAGTCTAGTTACATCATTCAGAAAATGTTATTCAGGGAAGAGGAAGAGAAAGAAAGAAGAAAAACCCTTGAGCGTTATTTGATCCCAATCAAACTTTGCACGCTCTTATGCCTTTAAATTATAGCCTGACCCAATGCTAAATTGCTTGCTGCTTGGATGAGCCCAGTCCAGTTAAAATCCTACTTGGAGGTGGTTAGGGGGGTGGGGAGGGTGTAGAATTCAGGTTGCTTTTTTATTGTTATTTATCGTTGCATAAAGACAGTAATTACTAACCTTGGACTGCCAGAATGCAGCATAAAAATGAAAATCAGTCCCCCTTTAAGGCTGAGGGCCTGGAACAATTCTCACCAACACCCCCCTCCCCATTCCTACTACCAAATATATGCTCCTAATTAAGCAATGCGGGCGCATCGCTTACAATTAGAATTATGCAACTCTTCAGCAAGCAGCCATCGCTTCTCTTTCAACGAATTAGCTCCATATTTCAGCCGCCCTGTCTCCTTGGTCTTATCGGCTCCAGAGAAGCGGCGGTGACATTTCATCTTTGACAGACCCTCTCTATCCTCGCTCCAATGTGATAAAACTTTTATGGAACCACGACTAAGAAATGAAGTTTTCCCAAGGATCATGGAAACAGAGCCGCACATGAGCCTAGGGACCATTTTATTTACCCTCGGATCCAAGAGCTTCTCCCGCCCTTCTCTCCCCTTTCCCTGGCAGGGGAAATCAAATGTACCTCCTCTCCCTCCGCCCATGGTTTTATTTAGTGATTTAATTTCACTTTAGTTTTAAGGTTTGACCTGAGAAGTTTAAGCCTCCAATTTTTTTTTTTAGATTAATCATTTTCCTTTGTTTTCATTTTAGACCCAATGGTGGCTGGGCTTCAGGTCACGTGAGGACTTCTTTGTAGCTCCGGAAGAGAACTGTGAAGTTTAGGTTGCATGGAAGAAGCTATAATCGGCAGATTTTTTGGTTATTGTTTTGAGGAAGGAGGAGGGATGAGGAGCTTGTAGCCAAAGGGGCGAGGTGACAAAATGTCAATGAATGAGAAAAACTGAACTGGCAAAGAAGCCCAACAGGAAGACCTAGATAGAGCACCCCCAAATCTCCCTCTCTTCCCCCAGCTTGTTACTTAAAGTTTAGCTAAAGAAGTTGGCAGAATGGGGCAGGCTCACGTCAGTGAGAAAAACTATACAAATCTGAGTTACAGCGAGTGGGAGGTTGGGGCCAGGATAGGGTCTTCAAAGTCCTCTGCCCCCCCCCAATTTAGCAGTCAGCAGCCTCCCTCTGCTATCTAAATTGGACCACCAGGACAAGATAAAATTGATAACAGAAAGTTTATTCAAGAATTGTTTGACAGACAACCCTTTTAAGTAAGGAAAAAAGTAACTACTGAAGAACAAAGAAAGTTCCAAGAGGGAATTAACTCTAATTCTACAAATTCAGGACTATACAGTGACAATTAGGAGCTGAGTTCATGCCTTTTAGAACTAATTACAATTGCTCATAAGTACGAGTTTAACATAAATCTACAGCTCTTTTCTAGAGTACAATAATAACTAAAATAGCTGGTTTTACATGACAGGAAACACAACGTCCCTTAATGACAAGTAAATACTAAAAAAAAAAAGTACATTTTTTTCTTTTTCCCTCATATAAATACATAATGTAGGGGGATAAATAATACAAAAAGAAAATATTTTAACAGGCTATAACCAATAAATATATATGAAAATGTTCACTAGAACACACGCTTCTTGAGCGATGCGGGGCTCCTGCAGGCCCAGGCACCTCTCACAGTTGTTTTTATATCCATTAAAATGTAAACTCTAAGTGCAACAAAAGCGTCCTGTCAGAGGGCTGTTCCAGGCCCTCGGCCGGCTGCAGCCCCTGCCTAGGACAGACAGTTTGTTAAAATATACCCTGTTTTCACGTGAAGTCAAGAGAGCAACAGAAGAAAAGAAAAGTATAGAACCTCGTGTCACTGATTGCTTTCTGTGGAGAGAGGGGATGGACCTGGAGCTGAGCCGGCGGTTGGTAGCAAGTGGGCAAACACCTTCAGTCCTGATGACCAGCGTGCCTGCCCTCACCTCCCAGCTTTTCCATAAAAGAAAAATATATATATTTATAATATAGACAGCTCTGACTTTCAGGATCTCTCACCATCCCTGAGCCCTCTGAAATCTGTAACGGGTGGGGGTGGGGTAGACTTAACGTCCTAGAGCAGAAAACTGCGGGGTTAGAAACGGAGTGCCCAATAGACCTCAAATGGATGGGAGCAAATTTGAGGCTCCAGGAAGTGGGAGGGGAGCCTGCTTTGTGCCCTCGGTTTTAAAATGTTTTTTTTTTTCTTTTAAAGGAGAATTGAGAGGGGGGGGAAATCACGTCTTGGGGGAATTACCCACAGGGATGGAAGGTAAGTCGGTTGGTGAGTGATGGCCTGGCCATCTTATCCGTTTTTTAAAATGTGCTTCTCTGCCTGGTTTTCCTATATCTTCCTCCTCTACCTCACTCCCGAGTGTGGAATTGCAGTGCGTATCGCGGGAGCTTGCGGTGGATGGGGTCACCTCCAATCTGCTGTGGATTCCTTAGCGACGGGTTGGCAAGCGGAGGGAACAAGGGCTGGGGCACTTGAGAAAGCAACCTTGAGGCCAGGGGGAGGGGAGGGCGTTCTGCGCCGGCTCTTCCCAGGAAGCCGGGCCACCACCTCAGCCTCCTCCTTCCAGACCGCCAGCCTGCCCCCCCCCCAGCCCCGGAGCTCCAGCCCCACAGGGCGGTCCGCACCCCACGACCTGGCCCCTCCGCCCTCCCTCTCCCATCACAGGTGTGTTAATTTGGGCGCTTCTTGGATTCTACCCTGAGGAGGAGGCGCATGGTGAGAGGAGAGGTCTGTGTAGGTGGGGTGGGGGTCGCAGGGTCCGTGGCTGGGGGCCATAGGGGGCGCCCCGTTGTAGTCCAGGTTCCCCGAGGGGTGGTGGGAAAGGTGGTTGAGGCCGTAGAGGGAGGGGCCGGCAGGGGGCGGCAGCGGATCCGCGTAGGCGCCCCCGCCCACGTACACCGGGCTGCCCTGCATGGTGGGCGTCCCATAGGCGCCCCCGTTGGCTTGGAGGACGTGAGGCTCGTAATCCGGCGCCGGGGTCGGGGGGTACTTCTGCGGGGCGCCGCAGCCTTTGAGAGGGGGCTGATAGCTGGAGGGGAGCGCGTAGGCATTCTGGTGGGCTTTGCCGAAGGCGGGCGGGGACGGGCTCTCGTAGCTGGGGGTCATGGAGTGTAAGGCGTTCATGAAGCCGGCGGTGGACTGCATGGGCTGCGGGGGGCTGCCGGCGGGGGAGGGGCCCCCGGACGACGAGGCCAGCCCCTTGGCCTTCTGGTCCTTCTTGTACTTCATGCGCCGGTTCTGGAACCAGATCTTGATCTGCCGCTCGCTGAGGTTCAGCAGGTTGGCCATCTCCACGCGGCGCGGCCGGCACAGGTAGCGGTTGAAGTGGAACTCCTTCTCCAGCTCCACCAGCTGCGCGCTCGTGTACGCCGTCCGCGCCCGCTTGGACGCCGCCGACCCCGGGGGGCTCTTGTCCCCTCCCCCGCCGCCGCCGCCGCCGCCGCCGCAGCCCTCCGCTGGATTCGAGGGGGAGGGGTGGGAAAGGGAGAAAATGAAATAAAAGATAATTACTGAACACGCCGAAATTGAATGCATCATTTCTTAATAAATCCAGGCCTGGACTCGGAGCCCCGCCGCCCTCCCCTTCCCGTCCCCGCCTCCTCCTCACTCCCCCCACCCCGCCCGTCGTATTAGCGGACACTCTATAATAGTGGCATTTATTAAGAGACCTGTTCTCCTCTCGCTGCCCCAGCTTATGAAAATTTGATCATGTCACGCAGACAGAGCCGCATGGCCATTTATTCCGGGCTGGATTTCCTCACACTGGCTTTTCTCCCTTCTCCCCGACTCCAGGTTCGGGAAGACCCAACCGCCCAAAGCCGAGCCCACCCTGTGGGCAGGGTGCAGGGTTGAGGAGAACCCTGGGGGTGATCTGGACATGCGAGGGTAAAAGAGTGGCGCAAAGAGGCGACCGTGCCTGGAGGCCGGGACCCCGGGCCGCCCGAGCGATTGTGATTAATACCCGCAAGTAATCATACTTAATAATAATCAATCGTTGAGGACGCCGAGTCCACCAGCGGCGCCCCGTGACTCTAAGGCCTGGCGAAGGGCTGAGCCCGCGCGCGCCTGGCCCGCTGGAGCTCTAAGCAGCTCAGGTGGGAGGTGGCTGGAGGGAGAAGGTGCCGTGGGGTCAGAGGTCACCAGGTGAGGCGAGGTACGGGGAAATGCGCCACTGCCCTGGCTACCTGACATTGTTCCAGGCCGCCGACCGGGCGCCTAGGGCTGGGTGCTAGAATAACAGTGACATTCCTGGCCCGGACAAAAGCTGACGAGGAGGAAGGCAGAGAGCTGGTACCTGTGCCGGGGGTGCTGTTTTTCAGCTTGGACGTTTGCCTCGACTCTTTCATCCAGGGGAATATCTGTTTGGTGAGGGTGGAGTTGGAGCCGGGGCCGCACTTGGGGGGGGCGCTTTTGCTGGGCCCGCCCCCGCTACTGCTGTTGCTAGTGGCACTGGTAGGTGCGGCGCTGGGTGGGGGTGAGCCGGGCGGGGCAGGCAGGGGCTCGGGGGCCAGGCCGGGCCTCATGCAGCTGCCGTTGAGCTCCTTGCTCTTGGCATGCGAGGTGGCGTTGCCCAGGGACTGCAGCGAGCATGCTGAGCGCTGGTAGTCGCCCTCCAGGTGCGTGGCGGCCTGGAAGGGGGGCTGGGGGGGACCATCGTAGCCGAAACCATTGCTGCCAGGATACGAAGAGTAGCCTCCGAAGAGCGCAGCCGCGGCGTTGTCGTAGTAGGTGGCTTTCTGCATCGCTGGGCGAGGCCCGGGCAGTGGGTGGCAAAGTGCAAGGGCCTGATACCCTCACGAACGGACATTGGCACCCCTGGGGGTCACGTGGCACGCCGGACCCCCCCTCCCTGACCTGCCCCCCTCCTCCCGGGGTCTGTTCCAAGCGGCTGACCTGCGGGGTGAAAGGAGAGACACAAGGGGGAAGAAGAAGACTGGGGCTCCACTCGAATCCATCTTAGAAACTGAAAAGGGAACTGACATCAATAGGGTTTTTTCTTCTCCCCCACCCCAACATCTTCACAGCAGATGCTGAGTCCACTTTCCAACCTGAAATGGAATTTTTCCTTATTTCAATGCTTTAATTTTAAGGAAAATCCCACCAGTTTTCATGTTCACTTAAAAAAATAAGGTTGGGGACTACCACCTGGATCTAGAATCTTACTACTGCAAGGGTGGCCGCTTACTGCCCCTGAACTCTCCTTCTCTCTCTACTTCCCCCCAACTCTGAGATAGGGTGGCCTAAGAAAGGGGGAGGGGGGCTGGGAGCCTGTAAAATAAAAGCACCATCAAGGCCTTCCCCTGGGCTGAGAGGCCTCCTGCTTCTGGTCTTTGCCTCCCTCCAAGTCCACATAGGTTTCTCTCACCCAGAAAGAAAGCCTGAATAAAAACAGAGGATCTCCAAGAGAGACAGAAAGGAGAAGCAAGTCCAACGGGGGTCTTCTCCAGTGAGAGATTCCTCACCTAAGGAAGATAACAGACTAAACTAGAAACTTCCTGAAGATTTTTAACCCCCACAGCCAATGGAGCCCCGCTTCTTGTGCCTGGCTACGGATACCACCACCTCCATCCAAGTCTTTGCTCAGTCAAATCTGAGACCCAGCAGCCAGAGGCCCCCAAGGGGGACCCAAATGGAGCAGGTTTCCCTATTTCCCTGGCCCGCTCCATTCCCAGATCTGACTGGCTGGTGACCTGACCATTTGGTCCAAGTCTTCCCCCACCCCCACTTTTTTTTAATCAGACTTATTTTTTCCCACTTTTTTTTTTTGACCATTTGTATCCATTGATATTTCTCCACAAGAAATAAATTGGGTAACTGCTGGACTTTTCTACCAGGAGGAGGAAAAGTACTTTCTAAAAAAGAAACAGCACTTTTCTATTCCCTAGGAAAAAAAGAAAGTTAACAGAGCAATCTGAATGTTTTTCTCTGGGTTGGAAACAGAGGGTATCCCAGTTTACTGAAGTTCTCCAAGGCACACACATTAAAAAAAAATAGTTTAATGCAGGCTTTATAAAACACTGCTGGAAAAATAAAGGTTCAAGCTGTCAAACGATTTTGTATATTTCTTCTGAAACTTCTGACTGCATTTCTCTGTCTTCCCACCCATCATCCTCACTTTTCCTAACACCTTCAGACTGACCCTCTCTCCAGACACATGCGTTTGGAATACTTAAATCTCATCAGCCCAGCTGGTCAACTCCAAAGACTACTAAAAATAAGAAAACAAAATAAAAGGAGTGTAGGTGAAGGAAGTCCCTCCCACACATAAATCCTCTTCTTAATGGCATAGATTTACACTCAAAAGGGAGCTGGGGTATCCCTGACTTCCGATTGGTTTCTGGAAAGATTTGTTTCTGGGAAATACACATGGGTCTGCAAAGCATCAGGTTCTTCCTGGGAAGCGAACTGGAGTTCAATTGACCAAGCTGACCCAATCCCTTTATTATTATTAACATTAGCCTCTGATGATTTAACCAAAATTAGCTTCTGAGTAGCCCTGGCTGAAGGGGGAATTAATTAACAGGCATCGGTTGAGTTTGTTATTAATAGAGAGGAGAATGGAATAAAAATGTTTGGGGGGGAGGGTTGGCTGACTGGGCCCTGGCTTTATTTAGTCTAAATGATTTGTTAGAGCGGTAATGATGATGGTGATGATAATCATGATGATGATAAAATAATAATAATAATAATAATAATAATAATAATAATTTGACTAGACGCCTGGGGCCGAAATTCCTGTCTCTCCCCCTACAATAAACCCGCAAACCATCACAGGACGCAGGCCAGGCGAGTGTGGGCAGCGGAGGAGCCAGAGACCAGATAGAAAGAAAGGAGCCTCCGCCGGCGGCGAGAAAGGACCGGGAAGGTTTGTGGACGCGGTTAGCCGCCGGGCTGTCTGCGCTCCGCCGCTGCGGCCAGGCTGCTGCAGGCTGGCTAAGCTTGACCCAAGAAGAGAGGGGAAAAGGGTCCGGATGCCGAAATGGTTACAGCCGCGGCAGGTTACAAGCTCACCCGGCTCAGGGCCGAGCCCTGCGGGTGGCAGCAAGTTTGGGCGCTGGAGGTAACCGAATTAAAAGGCGCCTTAGCAAGTCCGCTCAGGGACTTCGTCAGGCCGGGCTCGGCTGGAGGGCGCCTAGGCCTGGCAGACTGGACAGTGGTAAGAAGCAAAGGTGCGGAGGGGATCCGAGATTTGAAGATCCAGGAGAAGAGGGGGTGGGGAGCAGTTCTACTAAACCAAACACGTCTATTTCCCTTGCCTCCATGTTGGAAAAATCCAGGCTCCATATGGCTTCTCGGGAGAGAGGGAGGGAGATGGTGTCTCCCGGCTTCCCCCCGGGGTCTCGCTGGAGAAGGGTGGTGAGCAACCCCTAAGAACCCCACCTTGCCAGGCACACCCCAGGAAAGAGTAACAATAGCTGGGGCAACCCCAGGGGAGGGGACGGGCCACCTTCCTGGACTTTAAAAAAATAATAATGGAAGGAAGTAAAGAACAAGAAAGAGACAGAGGTTTGACTCTTCTTAGCAGCCGGGGAAATGTTTAGCCCTGGATTTGGCTGCTGAAAGAAAAGAGAGGAGAATAGGAAAGAAGCAGGAAGAAAGAGGGAGAGGGGGAGAGGGAGAGAGAGAGAGGGAGGGAGGGA